AGGGTAACAGTGGTGGCTGTCCAAAGCTGCTTTTTTGGGAGGTGATGATACAGCTTTCTAACATCATCAATGAGGAGGAAGCATACCCATTTTAAAAGTGGCTAAACCTGAAACTTGATAATACGTTAAACCAATCAGGTACATTGTGAAACTCCAGCCATGTTTAGCATGACTGTATCATTTATCTCCATCAATCTAGAACACTTTTAAGAGCGGGCGTTATTGAAACAATGGGAATAAATTAGGATTGTCCTGAGCAAACCAGGGCAGACATGGTCACTCCAGTCATATTCTGCTGCTCCCAATCTATAGAAGAAAGCGTGACTTTATTTATGTATTTTCTTTTTGCTAGAAGTGAGAACTAAAAACGTATCCTGCTTTTGAGTAGCTTCATGACATTTACTATGTAGTACCATTAGGCATCCTCCGAACCAGGTAGCTCAGGGAATTTGCATTTTTTATTCACTTCATCATCTGCAGTATTGTGGATCACACATGCAGCTATCAGAATCCAGCCACGGCATTTAAACCAAGGTGTCCGATAATGAATCAATGTGTATCTCTTTAGGGATCCTTACATGTTCCTGGACAGGGGTCCCAGTAAATATCCTGTTCCCAGGCAGACCACATTCCAGAGCGCGAGACTGAAAAAGATGACAACTTGCAGGATAGGAGATGGGAAATCAGTAGGAGTATTCAATGTTTTCCATTTAAGAGACACGAATCAAAAGGGGGAAACCCCATATGATTTAAAATCAGAAGACCTGGTTGAAGTACCTCACACTTATACTGTGTGAGGTTTAGCAAATATTTTACCTTTCTTCAGTGAGAAGGGCATAGCTATCATACCATCGCCTCTTTACATAGAAGTGTTTAAGTAGTCAGTACTGTAGAAGTCATTAAAATGTACAATATGAAGGCCAGGCGTGATGGTTCATGCCAATAATTCCATCACTATAGGTGGCCGTGGTGGGTGGATCACTTGAGACCAGGAGTTCCAGACCAGCCTGGGCATTGTGACCAACTCCATCTATTAAAAAAAAAAAATTACTTGGATGTGGTGGTGCATGCTTGTGGTCCCAGCTACTCGGGAGGCTGAGGCAGGAGAATGGCTTGAACCTGGGAGGTGGAGGTTGCAGCAAGTTGAGATCGCATCACTGCACTCCAGCCTGGGTGACAGCTAGACTCTGTCTCCAGAAAAAAACAAACAGAAAGAAAGAAGAAAGCTCCCAGTAGTTATCCAGTAGTTATTTCATTTCTCAGTAAAATTATGAAACTTTTTTATCTTTGTCTATTCTATTCATCTGAGCACGGATATTGACACTTCTGGTGGGGAGATAATTGCTTGTTTTTCACTACCTTGACCACTGAATACTCTCCCTTCCCCTCTCTCCCCTCCTCCCCCTCTCTCCCTCTTCTCTGCTGTCCTCCCCCTGTCCTGGTCTCCTCCTCTCCTCCTCTCCCCTCTCTCCTGTACACACACGTACTGTTTGTGTGAGACATTGTATGTGAGAGTATATAGCAAATGGCAAAGTTCAACCAGGATGTTCACTATTAAGAAGCATCTTTACTTGGATTCTCAGCTGCTGTCTGTCAGAAGGCACTGCAATAAAACAGGTGCATATTCTTACCCTCAGGAGGATGTCCGGGACAGGAGGTTTTTTAATCTTTTTTAAGACAGAGTTTTGCTCTGCTGCCAGGCTGGAGTGCAGTGTTATGATCTTGGCTCACTGCAACCTCTGCCTCCCAGGTCAAGTGTTTCTCTTGCCTCAGCCTCCTGAGTAGCTGGGACTACAGGCATATGCCACCACATCCAGCTAGTTTTTGTACTTTTAGTACAGATGGGGTTTTGTCATGTTGGCAAGGATGGTCTCGATCTCTTGACCTCATGATTCACCCGCCTCGGCCCTCCAGAGTGCTGGGATTACAGGCATTAGCCACCTTGCCTGGCTGAGAGATTTTTTTTTTAAGTTACAATGATGAAAACTTAATTGGCGAGTTCAGGGAATAGTAAATAAGATAAAAATTTATGTACTGTTCCAAGGGTGTTGAAAATGAGCTGCAGCTATGGAGAAAGCAATTACTAAGGAAGAAGTTAGCATAGGCTCCTGGCCAAATTGGCATCAGTTTCAGGCACTTGAAGTGCACACCACTCGTAGGAGCTGTCACATATTTTTAGATATTTGTTCTATACCTTGGCTGTAGTGGAACAATTCCTTCAGAGTCTGAGGGACTCTTTAAAACGTAGAGATTGCCAGGGCACCTTGCAATCTGTTAATCAGCATTGATTGAATTAAGCACTTAATCCACTGCTTCTCAGCAGGGTATCAGGGGGCGGATTTTGCCCACAGCAGATATTTGGCGACGACTGGAAACATTTTTGGTTGTCACACAGGGCGTGGGAGATGCTACTGGCATCTAGAGGCCAGGGATGTTGCTAAACATGCTGTAGTACACGGACAGCAGTGCAGGAAAAAGAATCAGCTGGCCAGGCACGGTGGCTCACACCTGTAATCCCAGCACTTTGGGAGGCTGAGGCAGGTGGAACACAAGGTCAGGAGATCGAGACTATCCTGGCCAACCAACATGGTGAAACCCCATCTCTACTAAAAATGCAAAGATTGGCTGTGTGTGGTGATGCATGCCTGTAATTCTAGCCACTCAGGAGGCTGAGGCAGGAGAATCACTTGAACCGGAAGGCGGAAGTTGCAGTGAGTCAAGATCATGCCACTGCACTCCAAACTGGTGACAGAGAGTGAGACTCTGTCTCAGAGAAAGCATCATCTGTCCTCCAGGGTTAAGAATCCCCAGCCTAATCTAACTGTGGATTTAGTACCATGGGGGATACAATACAAGTAAAAAAATATCATTACTTTCCTCAAGAGATACAAAGGCTGGATGCAGAGGATACCAAAACTATAGGGCATTTAGCTGAAGTAATTTTTCAGTCAACAGTACTTACTGAGCACCAAGTATGTACCAGGAACTCTGCAAGGTCTGGGTATTAATTACAATTATAGTAAATAGATGTAGTGCCTGTCCTCAAGAAGCTTAGAGCTTATCAAGACACACAAATGTTAAAAAGAGAAACACAAACAAAATTCACTGTAGATTGGGGTAATCATGTTTGGAATGGAAGATGAGAGCTGCCCTGAGAGAGATGAACAGAAGGAGTTTTGTTAGATTGGATGGTCTGGGACACCTCTCCGAGGTAATCATACTTCAGCTGAGAATCAGCTGACCAGGTGAAACATGACAGGAAAACAGAAAAATTGGAAAGTAAATACTCTTCTTAAGCTGATATAAGCAACTTGATGTGAAAGAGATTTCTTGTGGGGAAAAAAATACATATTTATATAATTTATTATATAGTTTTTCTAGGTCCAGTTTCTCATTGCTAATTGTGTATATGGGTGTAAGTGTCTGTGTGTGTGTATATATATATATATATATATATATATATACACACACACACACACACACACAATTATATGTAGTTATGTGTATACATGCACACAATTATAATTGTATAATATATAATTACATATATGTAGTTATAATTACATAATTATATGATTATATATAGTTACATATATAATTATGTAATTATATAATTATATGTACATAACTACATATAATACATAATTATATATAATTATATATGTACATAATTCTGCATGTATTATAGGTACATAATATTTAATTATGTTACATATACTTGTGTGTGTATATACATATGTGTGTGTGTGTATATATATATATGTATATGCACACACACACATATACACAATTAGAAACTAAACATTGGACCTGGAATGGCCAATAGTATAATGGAAAAAAATGTATTGCCATCTATCAACTTTCTACTTCATTCATTCATTAAATAGTTTGAGTGCCTATGATGTACTATACCTTAGGAACCTGTTACTGAGCAAAATCAGAAATGATTTCAGCTGTCAGAATGTTTATATTCTAGTGAAAGGGAGTGCACTAAAATAAAATAATTGAATAAAGTATTCACAGGGTTAAGTACTGGGATGAGCAGATCTTTATCTTTATGAGAGCCTATGACTAGAAGACTCTACCTAGGCAGGAGTGACAGGAAAGATTTTTTCAGCAAAGTGATGAGCCAGAGGTGTGTAGAAATTGACCAGGTGAAGTAGGATTGGAAAGAAGTCTCATTAGAGGCGTCAAGGTTTTTAGGATACATTTCGTTGCAAGCAATCTTTTCCTTCCACGTGCTTATCAATTGGCTTCCTCCTAGAAGTTTCCATTGCTCCTCTTGGAGGAGGATTTGGAGCCAGGTGCCTTCAAAATAGGTTATGGCTCACTCTTCAACTTTGTGACTTTCACTTGCTCCAAGTGTCCCAAAACTCTTGGGAGTGTAACAAACTGGAAGATGGCAATAAATTACCGGAAGTCAGACATCTGTAATGAAGCCTCTCTTCCTCACTTAAATCAGCCATGCACTCTCAATTTTTGGCTTTTTTCCAGTGTGAGTCTCCTGTGTTCCCCAAATATGTATGCATATCAAGTTCCCTGGGAAATCGCCATGTGGATCCAAGAAGCATGGCAAGAAAGAGGAATGGAAACGACTCCAGCGTGACTAGAGTAGAGTGGGCCTGGGAGAGTAGAGTGTGGAATGAGACCGTACAGGTAGGGAGGAGGAGGAGGTGGCAGATGGGCAGGATGGCAGTGGAGTAGGATGAGGAGAGGGAGAAGTGGGCAAATATGCATTTGAAAGACTAGAAAGGAAATGCTGCCAAATCATGTAGGAAAATATAAAAAGAGGGGAGGGATAATGCATAAGCTAAGGCAGTATTGGTAGAAATGCATTGGTTTAAATTAGCTGGGCGTAGTAGTACACACTTGTAATCCCAGCTACTTGGGAGGCTGAGGCAGGAGAATTGCTTGAACCAGGGAGGTGGAGGTTGCAGTGAGCCAAACTCGCACCACTGTACTCCAGCCTGGGTGACAGAGAGAGACTTTGTCTTAAAAAAAAAAATGCATTGGTTTGTTTCTATTTAAGAAATTTTCAGGGAGTAAATTATAGGGCTTGGGGATGAACCAGTTAAAGGGATAGAGATATCAAAGATGAAGCCTGGGTGCATAGCATGCCTTGCAGGATAGATAGTGGTACCATTCACTGAGAGATGAAACTCTAGAACAGGACCCATTTTGGGGGGAAATATCACAAGTTCAGGTTTAGAAAAGTTGATTTTGAGATCACTTTGAGACACGTATGTATAGTTATCAAATGCAGGCCTGGAAGTGAGCTGAAGATAAGCAACCACTGTGCTCCCGCTTAATGAAAAGTTGACACTCATCCCTCTGTTAGTGGATGCTAGCTTGCCCCAGTCAGAGTCTCCTCTTACTTCACATGCTTGAAATGGGTACATCCTACTTGAAAGCACCACTGATTGGAAACTGAGCAAGGAGCCAACAGGAGTATAAATCCAAGATCAATGTTGAGCATGTGTTGAAGGGAGAAAGAAAGTGAGTGGTTAGAAATCAGATTTGCCAGCATGAGGGGTCACCACTTCCACCTGCCATAATTTGCAGAGATGAGAATTAAGGTCTCACACTAGTCACTCATGTAAGACCTGAGGTAGCTGATCAGTGTTGTGCTGGCTAATGAGCTAATTGGATAATTTGATAATAGAACTGTCACTTGGAATAGGACTTTAAAAGTTATCTAGATCAATCCTTGCCTTTTTCAATTGAAATTGAGGTCCAGAGAGGATAAATGACTTATCTAAAGTCACCATGCACATTGATGACAGAGCATGGCTGCCTTTGATCTTTATTTTACAGTCTTACTTGGTTCTGTCCAGTATTTTGAATGTGAGTGGAGTGACATGCAGTATTATTTTACTGTCTGGCACTTTGTGTGTAGATGTTGGTCAGATAGCCCCAGGCCCCTTTAGTTAAAAGACACAGTGTTTTGTGGCTTTTTGCTAGCACATAGTTATAAATCACCCTCATGAAATCCAGAATAGCTTGGATAATGATATGAACCTTAACTACGAATTTAGCAGTCTGTAACAGCATCCAGCAGTTTTAGTTTATCACTGTCCCAAGGGGAGAAAGGAGAAAAAAAAAACAGCATAAGAAACAAGCCAATAAATTTGTTTTTAAAACCCAGCATCCTCCTCCCTCCCTTCAGCAAATGTTGTAAATTCTGGGCATTTATGGTTTGCTTGAGGAAGCAAGCTCAATGTCAAAAGTGTTTTAATAGCCTTTGATTTACTTTTTAAGTGCTTATTAGGATGATTGATGACAGTGTTTTGAAGTCAATCACAGACTTGGGAGAGGCGGGAACTTCACAGCCATCTTCCCACTGGCTGGATGTGTGTATTGGTTGGTTGGGTTTGGGGAGTACTTACAAGCACAGAAGGGACTCAACTTGTGTTTTCTTTTCTCTGTGAGTGGCAGCTGGGCTCTTATTTTTCCCTTTTGCTTCCTAAAAGAAAGTGGCAACTGAAGGACATTTCTTAGGCTTCTGTCCCTCAGATGTCCCATTCCAGTGGCCACCTGCTGAGTGGGATTTGAGTGGCCTGCTCTGGGGGTTTCACCCTGCCTGCAACATTTACAGAAAAAGTAATCCTTCCATGTTACTTTATGAGCTGAGACAAGAGCTAGTACTCCATCTTGCACGCATTAAAATCCTACTGAAAAGCACACCAGACATTTAAAGCAGTAATTGGCTTGAGTTTGCATTTGTTCATGCCATAATAGCCTCACCGTACACAGCACCCAGCTATGAAACCCCTCTTTCCTTAATAGATAGAATTAAGTTGTATTTCATCCTGTGCTCATTCAGGAATCCCCAATAGCCAGCATAACTGAGAAAGCTGTCGAGTAGGCTTTTGAGATGTAAATACTATCGCCTCCACATGAAAATCCATGAAGTCAGTTCCTGGGTCTTTATTTACAAGACATTTAAATGAGGAACCGGTGTATTGCAGTTCCAGCAGCATCTTTCTTCTCTCTAAATCCAGTCACAGTGTTCATCAATGTGTTTAATAATGCCTGGGGAGCCGTTGGTTCCGGCATTGAATAATGAACATTCGAAGTGCCCACTGCTTTAAATACTTTCTAAATTTGTGTTCCCTTATGTGTGTAAAAGGAAAATGGACAGGAAAGAGACTTTCTTTTTCTCACTCTGAAGAGAATTGACATGGAGGAGTTTGTTTTGGAAATGACACCTGGTCAAAGAAAAGATTCTTTAGCACTGTAAGCCTTGCTTTTTTTATTTTATTTTTTTTCTCTTTACAGTCCAGGGACATTGCCATTATCACACAGGCTCACAATCTTTTAATCAGAACTTTATATGAATCTTTTAAAAAATTCAGCAATGCAGGTACCATACCAGGATGCACGGGGTAGAACCAGCAATCTATATTTTACATTTCTTCTTGTTGTACAACCAGGGCAGAAAACCCCAGAAGGATTATACAGGGGTCCTTGATGCAATCACTTAGAAAACAGTGGTCTGAAACTTTTGTGGGCTTAGATTGCTCTGGGGTACCTGTTGAAATGCAAATTCCCTGGCCAACAGAGATTCTGCTACCTTTACCTTGGGAGTGAGAATCAGAAATTCACCCTTTAACAAGATCTTCCCATGTAAGAAATAAAAGGATCATATCATAAGAGAAAGAGGTACAGGTGGACTGTCAGGAATTGGCACTATTGTGTTTTGCTTCCTTTTGTTTTGTTTCTTGTTCGGTTATTCTGACTTACGGGATTTGGCCAAACTAAGCACAATAATTGGATTTCATTTTTACTTTTCTCCATGCTCAGTAGGTGCAGCCTTACTGTCTGGCCAGTTAACCTAAAGCAGCAGTTCCCAAGAAGCCTTTACTTCTGAGGAGCTTTTAATATAAACTTATGCCTGAGTCCCCCACTTCCACCAAGAGATCCTAATTAATAAATTGGTTTAGGAAGGGTCCCAGCTATTGGCATTAAGAAAAATATCTCCTCATGTGAATCTACTGTACAACCAGGATTGAGAACCACTGGTATAAGTACTATGCAAAGCGACAGGAGTTCTTGTACCAGCTGAGAAATGCCAAGTGCCAATGCTGTGACTGCAGGTGCTGACAGTATTTAGTTGGGTCAGTGGCATCATCTGTGGGGACTACACTGCCCAAAACTGACTTGAGGATCCTGGCTTTTTTATACTGATGCATGCAGCTAATCTATAAATAGGATCGGGCTGAGGATAAGTGACTGAAAGAAACAAAATTCAGGAGGAGAAGAAACGGACATTTACAGGTTTTGTTCTCCTCAGTGGACACAAGGGTGGTGGTATCTGTACCAGCAGTGACCCCACTGCTACTACAGAAGGGAATCCCAGCGTGTCACCAGGTGGGGGCACACTCTGCTACAAATCCTGAGTGAGACATGTCAACCAGGGGGCTTGTGAATGAAGGACATTCACTTCTCTTTGAAAAGTCAGCTTTTCTGTTATTGAAAGCTAATCTGGTGTCATCAGCTTCAAGAAAGAGCTCTTGGACATTTACTGAAAATTAACACCATGTACTTGCCCAGTGCCTTTTAGTTTACAAAATACTTTGACATGTATTTTCTTCCTTAATCTTTACAAGGGATCTGTGAACTGGACCAAATGAAGCACCTGGAGCTTAGAGAGTCTAAATGATTTATCCAAGAACAAGCATCAAAAATACATAAGACCTAGATGGGATAGTAATTCAAGTCTTAGGAGTCTGCTTCCAAATCCAGGAAGTTACCAGAGTTGATATGTGCATAGACAGATGTAAAATGTATTATTGCTACTTATCTTATACACATTAAACAATGATCAACAGCTCATTAGACCTATGATGTCATGGTTATTATCTTAGAACAAAGCTCAGAAAGATTGTTGATTTAAATAAAAAAATAAAAAGTGACCAACAGCACATGCCATGGTCCAGGATCAGGTAGAATCCTGCTGGTAGCACTCTAAATGACCGCGGCGGGGCAGTACTGCTCTGGTCACTTCATCATTATATGTGTATCATTCTTCAGTAGATAATAATTTGATATGTTCAGTGGAGGAAAACTGTGCTATTGGAAAACAACTGACAAATTACTAGAGCTGTTTTTACCTTCTGTGAGAGATGGTTGTATTAACTGATATCAATGGTAATAATCTATCTGTATACTATTACATTTCTTCAGTGACTGATTGGATGAGACCTCTAGCATGACCTCCTGTCTGAGGCAAACATTTAAGGGGATTAACTGTGCCAGGTGCCGATGAGCACCTTTTCCTCTCATTTAAGCTTCATGCAACCCCATAATCCCATACTGTCAATAGCTATATAAAATGTAGAACTCTCTCTCTCTCTCTCTCTCTCTCTCTCTCTATATATATATATATATATATATATATATATATACACATACATACACGTGTACGTGTGTGTCTGTGTATAGTAAGTAGACAGAGGCAGAGAATTGTTAAGTAGATTACCCCAAATTTCACATCAGTAGGAAATCAGGCTTCTTGTATCCAGAGCCCAATTATCTTCCACCTCAACTATATTTAAAACTTGTTGCATATGCCGAGGAGAGCAAAATCAGATATTAATATAGAAGTAGAGTCCGCAGAGAATGGACTTGCTTTGCATTATCTATTTAGATAAGTTATTTTGCCTTTCTAAAACAAAGAGGTATGGCTATTTAAAAAGTTCCATTATGTAGGTAGGAGTGAGTGAAAATTGCCAGACAGCTTTTAAAGTCATTTTTCTTGCCATGATATACAACATGGATTCCTCCCAACTGTGATAAGCTCTGGAGACTTAACCATTCCCCCTACATCACAACTGCATGCATAGCAACACATGCAATCATATTGGCGGGGATAGGTGTCATTTGGTCAGTGTGTGTATATATGTATGTGTGTGTGTGTGTGTGTGTGCGCACACACACACGTATGTGCATAGATATTAAGGAAAGAGAATGAATTTCATGGACCAGTGGAGGTCCACTGAAGGTGATTTGTAAGAGAAATGGAGAAACCAGGTTGGAGCCAAAAATAATTTTGAAAATTAATCTTTCTCAGAATGCACAAAACTCTTGGAAGGGAAGTGGGTGGGATAAAGGGATTTTAAGCTGCCAAGTCGGTAGATAAGCACACACCACCACCCCCCACTTAGACAGTAATTCATAGTAACTAGTAAAGGCATGCCCATATGCTGTTTTGTAGAGGTGAAGTAGAAAAATGAGCATGTGAATTTCAGAGCTGGACTGATGCATGGTCTGGGGGCAAAGAATCCCTCTCTCTATAACCATCTGGGTGTGAGTTTGCGTTTCTATCTCTCAATTTCTATTCCTGAGCATATTTTCTCTCTCCTTCTCTCTTGATGTCATTTGTATTCTCCTTCCATTCTATACCTATAGCTACTTTGCAAGGAAAAGATGGTGACTTGTGACAAAAGGAAATGCATTCTTTTCACCCCAGTGAAATCAGCAAGGGTCCTCAGCATGAGAGCAATTGAGGGCAAGCAAGGCAGCCAGGCAGACAGCATAAAATTGAATGCAGTCCTCAAAGACCATGTGTTCTGTGGATTTTCAAAAGCCTGTGTCAGAACCTCTCTCCCAAACATTAAAGAGCCTAGGATACTGCACCCAGTGAAGGAAGAAGGTGGGGAGGGCAAGGAACTGCCTGCCTATTGGCTGTTTTGTGGTTAGCTGAGGTGTGCATCTCAAGAAAGAGCTGACCTTGGAAAACAAACATTTCTTCCAAAGCATCTGAAGAAGCAGAGAAGACAGGGAGGATATAAGAACCATGAAGGTAAAAAATGGAGTAAATGGACAGTTTAAAGATGGCTAAAGAAACAGAAATTGAGTGGTAGGGGCTGAAGGATGCCTAGGGCCGACTTTAATGGCTTCCATAGATGTAGGTTGGAGTTGTTCTTGAAGTCACAAATGAGCTGCTCAAAGGCTGACTGGGAAAAGCAGAGCTGTGCAGCCTGCTCACCTAGGGTAGTTTTCACTGCCTCAGAGTGCCATTCTGTGGCAGGCTTCCTCCATTGCTCAGGACATGCTGTGTGTAAGGGCTACTGGGCCCTTGGGGAAGAATGGACAGAATGGATAACAAATCTCAC